GTGTGTGTGTGTGTGTGTGTGTGTGTGTGTGTGTGTGTGTGTGTGTGTGTGTGTGTGTGTGTTGGGGGGTTATTATAGGCAAAATATTCTGTCATAAAGAAGAAACATTAGAGTTTTAGATTTTGCTTCTGAGAATGGAACATTTTGGCACATCAAGGGAAGAAAAGCTGTGTTTCTACACATTTACTTTCTTCTGCAAACATTGTTAAACACATTGGATTTTTTTTTCAATGTGAAATTAAACTTCTGAAGCTGAAACAAGAGCACTGCCAAGTTATTTGAGTATTGTTATGAGCATGGACTATATATGAACAGATACAAATTTGCTAATAGTACCAAATTATTATGAATAAATATCTTGGATTTAATGAAACACTGACCTATTTAATCGTTAAAAAAATAAGACCAAAAACATATGTGAAATGAAGCCTAAATGTTTAGTTGTGGTAAATTTATTTGAGCCAGTTTAATTCGATTCACTCACACGGGGAAGTCTCCCAAGGTGACGTTTATCAGACGGACGCGTGACGTAATCAATCTGCGCCGTAATCCGTGGAGAATAATGGCGGTTGCTCAACCGAAGCTCGAGAAGGAGAACGAAGATTGTTCTTTGTTGCCTTTAGTTCATGATATTATCAAATGGTAAGAGCTTTGATTGTGTCGTGTGTGCTGCCGTTGCTTGTGTGTTTTTCGGTGTGATCTTTTTTTTGTGAGTGTAATAAGTTACTCTATATGTTCGTATGTTGTTAGCTTTAGCTAACAACATACAGCTACCTATTTGAATGAAGGCTTGCTAAGCTGTCCCCCAAAACAATAAACCATCCTGTTAATTAAAGTCAGGAACAGTTCCTTGTTAAGGTGAAATAAACATTTCTGTATGTTTAGAATTTGGTGCGATTATTCTTTGCATTTTAAAATAAAGAATAAGTCGCAATTTGTTCTCATCAGGCTGCCTTTTTATTTATTTATTTATTTTTTTGGTCAGGAAAAAAAAGTTGGAGTTACAATATACCTACATATTCCCATCGCTCCAAAATACGTTTTAATATTGTTTGAATTTGCACTAATACGAATACAAATTCTCTGTTTGTCAGTTTGTTTTAATAAATTAAACTGTGCTTATCTATTGAATCGTTAAAGTTGATGCAGTTTTGTTAATTTATTTACATTTTGTCTTGATGAGATGTCTCACTATATTATCAATAATTACCTTGTGTTTTCCTTTTAAAAAATGGAAACCAAACGTTGTAAGTCTACAGTAACACTATAATTCTCTTTTGGTTTTTAAAGCATGGACAAAGAGAGCCAGGATGTCCATCAGGAGCTGGCAAAGCTGAAGGCAAAGATCCAGGAGGCTCGGGAGCAGATCTCCAACATGCCGGGAATCGACAGCAGTCCACAGGAGCAGCAGCAGCAGCTGGCCACGCTGAGAGAGCAGGTCCACACCAAGAATCAGCTGCTGCAGAAATACAAAAGCCTCTGCATGTTTGATGTGCCGAAAGCATCATGAGACCGACGACTGCTGCACTGACGGAGGAATTCATCATTAACTATGCAAACATGAGATGGGCACTTAATAAAAGAGGGACTGGTTTATCCTCCAGCTGCCCTGCAGCGATATGCTTTTGAACGTCTTGTATTCATTTGTTCATATTGTGTAAGAGTGTGAATTAAGTTATCTTTACTGAAGATTTTCTTTGTAAATATTTTTGTAATTAAACACTTCTTTTTATAACTTTACTCGCGTTCCAGGATTTCTTGTAAATTATTCATTCATATGTTGCTTTTGTGTGTTTTAGCATTCCAGGATTCCCGCAGGGTCTTAAAACAAAGTGGCAGATAATGTCAGTTGTAAGCTTTAAAATTGAATTTGAAGGAGAATCTATCAAACCGTCACTTTAAGAGAAGTTTTACTGTAATTTTTATTGAATTTGAATCATATGGTCTTTAAAAGATCAAATTTAACTCACTGATTCTTATAAAAACCTTGTATTTTGAATCGTGTTATCACACGAAAGGAACATTTGCATTAAGCTTGAGCAGCTGCAGCAAGGACGGTGTTTTAATAATTGTGCAGTTTTTTTCATCTGAAATATCTTGATGCAACATTTGAATATAGGGAAGAATATTTCCACTATAAACAATGAAATTACCTGAATGAGTTACGTCGACTGGTTCTACTCAATTGAGCTGAGAGAATTCAAAACAAGTTACTCATTTTCTTTCAAAGAATATGAGTAAGTTGCTTTTTTTTTTTCAAAGAAAATGAGTAAATGGTTTTGAATGGAACCAGTTGACATAACTTGGTTAAGTCAGCATTATTTTTGAGTGGACAGGGGGACATTGCAAAATGTTCAGAATATGTTTAAGTGTTATAAATTTGCTGCTCGAAAGGACACACAAGAGGAGGACAGGTTAAAAAAGTAGCAAGTGTTTTATTTTCTCTTTATGCAAAAAAAAAAAATGTCGAGGACATAATAAATACACACACAAATGATTCTCTTTGATCATTCTGCGACAAACATTCAAGTTTCACCCTGTCTGAGAATAAAGGCGAAGTGTAAACATTCTCTTCAATGCTGCTCTCAAAAAACTCACAGAAATACAGATTTACAGCATTTTCAGAGCAACTGCACCACAGCTTTAGATCCAGTGTGGATCCAGATTTCATGTTTTGGTCTCATGTTTCCAAGGCAGACACACTGGCTTCAACAGTTCTAGAGTCTTGGACTTTGCAGTCATTTGTCAGCAGATGATGCAGCCTCTCTCTTTGGCCTGACCGCCTCCTATCGCCTTCTCCTTTATGTACATCAGGTCGCTCTGGACGCTCGGTCTGCGCGCGAGCGGCTCCACGATCCCGTACGCATTCCCGTCCTTGAACTTCTTGTTTCGGAAGGACTTTCTGTGCAGAACGTCGCAGTACTGCAGCGAGACCTTGCAGTGGCGGTCGGGGCTCATCTCGTTCGGCAGCTTGGCCATGGTGAAGAGCGTCTGAAACATCTGGTCCACGTTGGTGTTCTTCTTGGCGGAGACCTCAAAATACGCGCAGTGCTCGTCTCCGGCGACCAGCTGCTCGATCTCTTCGTCCTGCACCTCCCGGTAAAAGTCCTTGTCGCACTTGTTGCCGCAGATGACGAGCGGAACGTCCGCTTTCTCTTTGGTTTTGTTGCGCAGACACGACTTGGTTTCGTGGATCTGGCGCTTCAGGCGCTGCACCTCCTGGAACGAGTCTCTGTTGTCCAGGCTGAACACCAGGATGAAAACATCGCCTGGAAAAACAAAAGAGGGGACATGCACGTTTTAACATACAGTCGGTGCGGATTCTGAGGTGCGCCTGATTTGATTTCAGATCATCCCAAACCTCACCTGTGAGAATTGAGAGTCTCCTCATTGCAGGGAAAGGATGATTTCCAGATGTGTCAAGAATGTCCAGCTGGTAAACGTCCCCCCGGATGCTGTAGAATTTCCTGTGAAAGTCCTCAATAGTAGGAGTGTACTGGTCATCGAATCTCTCATTGAGAAACCGAGAGATGATGGCTGTCTTTCCAACTTTAGTGGAGCCCAGGATCACCATCCGGTGGCAGTTCTTGGCCGGGATGTCGAACTCATTCTCGGACGGCGACATTTTCTTTATCATATTTGCACCCGATTCAGCAGGTGGTCGGGTTCTTTTTCTTTTTCTTTTAAATCCCCCAAACAGCAACAACGTTTCTGTCAGGTCTGGACCTGGCTTTGTGTGCAAGCTGGACGGGCTCAGACCGGCAATTTATAGGAGAAGTTTTGCCGCGCCTCCAAACGCGTCGTGCGTCACCCTGCAGCGCCACCGGGGAGCAGAGGAGCAAGCGGGACCTAAAATCCTAACGTTACCGAGGATGTTTGTGTGCGTCAATTCTGTCCTGCCCTCTTCAGAATGAAACCAGAAAGACACAAGCTTTTGTTTTCACTTTTTACAATGCGTGTGGCACTTTCACCGTAAATGGCATCATTGGGAAACTCTGGATTCACCGAATCAGTTTGGAAAGCGTTCAAAAACTTTTTAAAAATAAACCAAAAGTTAAATTGAAGACCTAACTTTTCTTTAATGTCTGAGTTTTGGATTAAGATCATCTCAAACCTTGATAATAAACCTCCTAATGTTGCATATTTTACATGAACTGTTATTTTTGGACTAATGGGAACGACAAAGTGCAGCACAACCACACCTTATTATTTTTTAGTCATTTGTTTTAATAAACGAAACAAATTCACATAAAACAAAAATACAAATTAAATAAAATGAAAGACAGCAGAAGAAGAAAACAAATCTTGTAATACCTACCCCTATTTTTCAAAAATATATATTAAATTTCAAACCATAAAATTTTAGCAATACAGCAAAACAAAAAAAAATTCAATTTCTCAAACAATAATTCATATAAATACACATTATACAACCTTATACCTCTCCAAAAAGCTTGGTATCTAAAAAAAGTGGTTGTCAACAATTTAATTTGGCAGAGTCCAAAAGCTATTTTTCATATTATTGTTCTTGATTATATTTGCTCTGTTAATGTTGGTTTTAGTTATTTGTTCTCTGTTTTGCACTTTAAAATGTTGCTGTGTGTGAAAGGTAAATAAATAAATTTTGATTTCATATTCAGTTGTAGAGCTTCATGATTAGAGAGTTGAGCTAAAATCTGTCAGAGGTTCATGAGATATTTTGCTAACAGACAAACAAACACCGGCACAATTACACTATTGTCTCCTGCCTTCAGCTAGATTTTTTTTTATTTGCGTGCATTGAAAACACAAAATCACTTGAACAACAAGAAAAAAACATGACATGAGCATGTGAGCTCATATCATATCATCACTCTGAGGAAAAAGTCAAACTGTTTGTGCACTCAGGCAGTCACCAGTAACAAGTAAACTGACTGTTAGTGGAGAGCAGGCTGGAAAAAAAGAAGGTGCAAAACCACACATACAGGAACATTTCCAACAGGACAATATTTGAACTTTTAGGAGTCCTGATTTTGTTACAGGTTAGGCCAAATGTCAGAATGGAAGCAATCAGGCTGCAAACGTCACCAAGAAAAACAAAAAAAAAAAAAAGAAAGAAACCAACAAGCGAAGTCCAGCTGCTCGGAACTGCATCCTGCACGCCCCTCAATCCAATTTGTATCGACTTTCTCATATGGCCTATTAATTAAAGCAGCCCAAGATAGAGCCCGCAGCTTGTGACTCACAAGCCGCTCATCCACTTCACCGTTTTAAGCACTTCTCACCTTTCACCTGTCCTCTCACCTGTGAATCAGTGCGGTGGAAGGAACGATTGCTACTAAAAAAGAAAGTCTTGAATTGAATTGAAGTGTCACTCGTGCTGCCACATCTGACGGTCCTGTCATGATTCATTTCCCCCMCCTTTCTCCTTCTCTGGCAGATTTTGTCTGGCACATTCATCAGCACTCAGTGTTTTTTTTTTTTTACAACCTGTACTCTGTTCTTAAGGTTGAGGAACTTAAACACATAAGCTGGCACGAGCTGCAATGTTTTAGAGGTTGTGAATAAAGCAGTTGGGCTTTGGAAGAAGATAATTGAATGTAATACTCTAAATTTGATCAATTATTTTATGAAATTGCTTAGTTTTCAAACCTATTTTTTAGTTCAGCTCACTGATTTTGTTCATGTATTTGTTCCCTTCTTTTTTTGGGCTGAGACAAAAATATTATGTTATGCAGAACACAATATGCACATGTCAGACACAAGCCTCAGCCATATGTCTCTGTATTTACCTTCACAGCACGTAAAACCACAAACTTGCTGCTGACCTTTTTTTTTTTTTTGGCCTCTGAGGGACAACAGGTTGAAATCAGATAGGTCTACTTAAGCCTGGTTGTTTAAAGTCTCAGAGATGGATTTGTGTAACATGGGTGGAGTGGACCCATTCTGCACCTTTGACTGATTGGTCAGCAATTAAGCCAGCATGTTCCCACAGTTGCATAAAACATGACACGTGCAAAACGTCTCCACCAGCACAAGAACAACTCTATAATGGATAATTAATCTAAAGGAAAATATATCCTTGTGTGTATTTTTAGCTGTTTTCAAACTGCAGTCTGTTTTTAGTTAGACTTTAGTTAGATTTATAGGCATCAAACATAAATTTAATTTAAGTTTCTATAACAAAGGGTGCAACAACATCAATAAAAGCACATTTTCAGCTTAAACCCAATATTTGCTGCTTTATTTGTTTTCTGATAACAGCTAACAAATAGGTTTTGGGTGTTACTTGCTTAGCATCAACATTTTCATCATGACTTTTCTGATACATTCCCTTTAAAAACAACTCACAGACCCTGCAGCTCTGCTGAAACCAGGTCAGGGTAAGTCCTAGAAAACAGTTAGCACCACAGTGTCCTCAGGCTCAGCCTCTTCCAGAGCAGCTCGTTCTGTCAGATAGACCTCGGCGCACACACGCCGTCCTGGCAACACGGCCTTCAGCAGAGTAAACACGCCGGTGGCAGCTTGCTCATGCTACAGTTACACACATTAATTTACTTCTCAGCCCTGTTTGCTCTCAGCAGTTACTAAAAAAAAACAGCCCTTAAAATGATAAGTTTGAGAATAGAACACTACACAGTTCCTCCACACAAAGAGCAGCTACAAATATGTTGAGATAATCTGCAGGCTACAATATATGTGCCTTTGTGAAGTATTGCAATGTTAATTTAATAAACAGTGATGTCTTTGGCCATTGAAGTAGAAGTTCCAGAAATGTTCACATTTTCGTTTATATGTAATGATCCCTGCACTGCTGTGACAGCAGCTCACACATTATATTTAGAAGTGTGTAACTTAAACACTTAATCATTTAGTGAGAAATCTAATTAAAAGCTAACAAGAACATATAGTTTTAAACATTTATGTGACTGTTGTTCATGAATGTCTATTTTAGTGCATTTCTTCAGATACATGCTGACATTTTCTTTTTGTTGTCTTCACAATCTTTGTTCTTTGTGGAAAAAAATAACAGTGCGTGAGCCATTCTAACAGTCTCAGACAAATGCCTCAAACAAATATAAAAATCACACATTCTTTCCAAAGATTTTACATGTCATTATTGTCATTCAGAAACTATATCTTAAAAAGCTTAAAAAATGCATTACATTTATTCTATTATTATTTTTTCTTTTGGAAACAAATCTTTCCTGAAATGGCATCACTGTCAAAAAAATGTAATGTACAGTAACATACTTTAGCTATGGTTGCACGAATTGCATTGCAAAGTATATGACAATGTTACAAAATTAATATATATTCATTATACTTTTAAGAAACTAAATTTTACAGTCAGTATTTTTTATAACAAATTAATCTGTAAACTTGTTATGGTGTCGTTAAAAAACAGATAGTCTGTAGTGTCTATGTCATGAAAACTAGAATTTTGGTTATTTGTATTTACTGTAACAAAAAATATAATTCAATCAAAATTAACCTACGTTCTTTAGGTAATTTTAAAATGTTCATTTTGAAGTTGCACAGTCAGCACTGGTCATTTCAGTTCAAAGAGCTGGGTTCTGTCCTTGTTCGGTGTAACATCCTTGATGAAATCAGACTGTGTGAAGTGAAGCAGGGTCATGTTGTGTTTACATGGCGTGTGTTTCCGAGGCGTTGCGTGTCAAGCCGGGCCATGTGGCAGAAAAACTGTTGAATGAAGCAAGAGAACTGAGATTTCCAATACAAAAGACCTTACAGGTCAGAGTCAATCAGAGTCCTGATAGGCCTGGGCTTAGTTTGCCCACCGCCTGTATGTTTTGATAATCTCCCAATCTGTCAGCTGTGTCATTCATAACATGGAGTACACGCAACATGGTGTTGTAAATCTGTGAAACAAAACAACTTACAGAGCTTTGCTTCGGCCTTATCAAAGAATAATATGACACATTTTACATCAGAACATATAGTTAGAAGAACCAGACTTCTAGCTCCTGTCTGTGCACTCAGCAATAATTTGCCAAACGCTGATTACCTAAAAAAACACAGAGCAAATGGTGGTTCGCAGAGTTCGCCTTCATTGACCTCTCTGACCAAAAAATCCTTCTTACCAGGTGGTTATTTTCGTAATGGACTTACAAGCAGTCATTGCACAGATACATCTCATTATGTGTCCACAGAGGCTATTGGAGAGATTTCAATCAGATCAATATTCATGTTCTCTTTTAGAAAGGAAAAAGAGAAAAAAAGACTCGTCTGTCTTGAAAGCAAAAAAAATACTGACATGTAGAAATAAAACTTGACATTGTTTTTTTCTTTGTATGTGACAAAACATGGTCAACAACAACAATGGTCCCATTTAACAGATCAAATGTGATAAATTATGTTCCCCTTTTGGCTCACTGCACCACTTTTCCCCAAAATGTCACCTTTTTTTCAAGTTGCACTGAGCATTTTTTCCACACTCAAAGTCAATAAAACAACAAACACTAACTGAAAAAAAAATCAATTGAAAATCACCAATTATCTTCAGTATCAGACTGGATTATGTAACCTGGATGAATGGTAACAATTTTATTGATTCAGCTTTAACAAAAACTGTCTTCTTGTGATGAATTATAGTTAGAAGTGCCAAGAAAATAAACTAATTTAGATTCATAACTGCAACAAGTAGCCTACAACTAAAAGAAAAGAAGGCAGCATTTTACATTATTGTGCTTTTGTTTGTTCAAATCCCCAATATATTTTCAATAAATACAATACATGCT